AGGCATGCACCACCCACACCGTGCATGCACACACACACGTGCACACTCACAAGAATGCACACGCCACACATGCACACGAACTACACACATGCCTGCACCACACACACACACACCACACGTGCACACACACACGTGCACACAGCACCTACCAGGGACATCCAAGGGTTCCAAGGAGAATGCATCAAACCAGATTCTCACCCAGGGTTTTCACCAAGTTGCCCCAAGTTCCCCAACTCTGACAGGGAGTATGTAGACCAAACAAAGGGGGTTGCAGGCAGAAGGAGGAAGGAGAGAGAGGAAAAGGAAAGTTGAGATGACCCTAAGGAGAAGAAAACAGGCACGTGGGGAGGCTGGTGCAGCCCCAGTCCACCCACCCCAGTACAGGCTCCAGAGTCCCGCCCAGAGGGTCCTGGGGAGCCTGCTGAGCCCCACCATGACCTTGCTGTGTAACCTCAGACACATCACTTTCCCTCTCTGGGCCTGGGTTTCTGCCTGCATAGAAATGAAGTGAGTCCGGGCAATCATTTGAACAGTTCTGAGGCGCTGCCCCCCAGGAAGGCTTCAGTTCAAACTTGGGGTCATCACAGTCTCCCCTGCCTGCAGCCCTTCCCCCCTCCACCCCTACCGGAGCATTTACCACAGGACTTCCCCTGCACATGGCAGCAAGTAACTTCCTCTGGGGTGGCCATGGCTCTCTGGAGGCGTCCCAATGTCACAGGCAGCTTAGCTTCTCGCTGCTGTCAAAGCCGCACAGAGAATTCTAGGCTGCATCTGCGGGGGCTGCCCATGCCAGCAGTGCATCTGTGTGAAGCTGCCATGGAAATTAAGTGTGTCCACATGATGCATATGATTTGTCCTTCACTTTTTTTATTTAATGACATATTGTAAGCAGCTCTTGTGGCTGTATGTGGACAGTTCTTTTCCTAACAGCCCAGTAACACAGTAATTCTATCGAAGGCTGTATCACAGATCCAACTGAACCCCTACTCAGGCGATTTTATTGCAGGTTTTTCCAGTCTTTGGCTTTTGTAAATATTGCTATAATAACTCTGCTTATAGGTACCCATTCTGTATAAATGAAAAGTTCTCCGTGTGTAGATATCTACCCGTATTTTTAAAGGTTCCTATTTGCCTAGAAATAAAGTCTGGTGCCCCACACACCAGGTCCTGAGCTGCAATCACTTCTGGGGCATGGGATCAGGGAAGAAAACTCAAGCTTTCTGCAAGCAATACCTTATACTGTTTGGGAAATGGAATGAGTAAGGGGAAAATAAACAAAATGCAGCCCCTGTTGAAACCTCTTTAGAAGTGGTTTTCTTAGCGGGTATGGATCTGGCAGGAGCAGAGTTACAGAAGCACGGAACGAAGGGAGGGCGATGGATGTGTCGGGCAGAAGGAGAGGCCGGGGCCACCGCTTTGTTCTGCTGGGTCAGCTCTCCCCTGGGCTGGCGAGGGCAGGACCTGGGTTCAAATCCTGCTCTGTGCACTCACCTGGCACCCGGGTGTTGTTTTGTGTGAGGACTTCCATTTCCCTGTGTGTAGAACGGGACACCCAGCCAGCAGGTCACACGAGACCACCAGAGAGTGCCTGGCATGGAGGGGCCACCATCAGCCTCTGTCCTGCCATCTTCCTCCCTGCTCCAGGTCCTGAGAGAAAGAAACACTGAATCTCACAGCTACTCCTTAAGTCCCCATGCCTCTCTCTCCAGCCTCCCCCATGGCCCCCAACTCAGTCTCAGGGCATCCCCACCCTGTGGTCTTTCTCCGGAAGAGAGAACCCCTGACAACACCACGTCTTTGGGCACAAATGTGAGCACAAATGTCTAGAAATCCCCAGATGATTAATAACTAAGACAACCCCCTTTGTCACTAATGATATATGGCAATAAACCTACTGGCCAATGTTTTTTACTGATTTATTTTTCTAGGAAAACACAGTAAGCCCAAGAACACAGAAACACAGCAACTCCGGGGTTGAGCAGGGATATTCTTTAAAAATCCCAATGGTGCTTATACAGTTTAGCGATCTTTCCCTTCATGTGGATGCACCCTGGGTTAGGAGTCAGGACCCCTGCCGGCACAAACAGGAAGGGAGTCCTGGCAGGCAAGAGCACACAGTGCAGTGGGCCTCACACATCCGCTCTCCATGGTCACCAAACGCTGAGCAGCCCACACCCCTGCCAGGATCCACGGTCACCTGCACCCAGGCAGGCCACTGACTAGTCCCAGCTCACCTAGGGCCAGGTGACCTCAGGAATCAGTAACTTGAGCCAGAAGTCCCAGCCTCCTCCTCTGTAAGGGAGCATCTCTTCCCTCGAGGGTTGTCAGAGGATCCCATGAGATAAAGTTGACCAGCCAGTGGGGTAACGGCTGATGTCACCACATTCCCACAGGTCTCAGGAGGCTGTTCCCACGGTCAGATGGGCTCATGTCTGTGAAATAGTGTGAGGATATGAGAAGCAGGGCCCCCCCCCAGGAGCCAGCCCTGGGTCCCCACCCAGCCGGACTCCCCAGGACTGGGAAGGAAGCTCATCAGAATCCAGAATCGCTGTTAGTCACCAAAGGCTCTGCTCCCCACCACCCCAGTAGCCTGCCTCCCTGCCCCAAGAGCAGGGTCTCCCGGGTTCCCAGTCCAGGAATCGGCCTTCGGCCCTCCACCTAGAGACACTTTGAACACTTCAAGGGCCTCACTCCAGAGAACATCAAAGACCACAGCATTTCCCATGACATCCTTCAACCAAGTGACCTGTGAATGTCCATCCCCATGACCCGGGAGCTCGGCTTTGACTAGGGAGCCAATGGCCCCCCAGACCCCATGCCCCAAATCCATTGCAGGGGCCGGTGACACGGCTTCCCCAGTGGAGGGGCTGAGATGGGTTCTGCCTGGGATTTGCACCTTTACCCCACTCAGTAAAGAGCTGTGTCTCTATAAACCTCTCCTCCACTTTCTTATGAGCTAATGGGTTAAACATCTTTAATTTTAGAAATAATTGCACACAACTGTAGAGCACACACTGGCCCCGGGTCCCCCAGCTCGTGATCTCTCCACGCGTAGGAGACAAGATTTTTAGGCCTATCCCAGTTACCCACCCTGGCCGCAAATGAAATATTAATGAAAGGTTAGGCTCGCAGCCTTCAGAAAATGATTACTCGAGACAGCAATTATATTTTCCCCCTTTCTGTGGAATAAAACTGCACCTCACTGCGCAATAGGAATTAATAATTCTGAACGCTGTTGTTACTGAGGCAACATCAAAGCGCAAGGGAAGGCATGCCCACGAGGGAAAACACACACACACACACACACACACACACACACACACACACACACACATCGAGACCCACAAAGAAAGTGGGTGACTTCAAAAGAGCAGGATTCTATATTCAGGGCTGGGATCCTTTCTCAAGGTCATTAACGGCTCTAGCTGACTGAAAGAGTGGCCCAATTACAAAGCACACAGAGAAACAGAAATGAGAACAGGACATAGTGACAACTCCAACTCTGGGTCACTCTGCACGGCCGCCAGCCTGGCAAGTTCCTGGAGCCAATCGGCCAATTCCCCAGAATCCTTCCAAGGGCCTCAAAACCTCAGGACAGCCAGCTGACTCCAGAGCCAACAGGCAATTTCCATGTAAGAAGAAAGAGGACACCCCATGGCCTGGAAGAAAAATAGGGGCCATTTATTGAGCACCTGCTATATGCCAGGCAAGTGTGGCAAGGCCGGAATTCCCAACCTCGTTTGATAGGTAACAGCACTGAAGCTCAGAAAGATTCAATGATCTGCCCGAGGTTACACGGCAAATGGCAGATTTGGGATTTTAAACTGACATCAAAGAGGGTGAGAGTGGTCTGCGTCTCTGCCCTGTTCATTTCACTCCCCACAGACCACCTAGCAGGGTGCCTGGCAGAGAGTAGGCGTTCAAGAAATTGTACTTATTTAACAAATGCATGATTACACTGGATCGAGCATCCATGCTCAGAAGGCAAAACTCTGCACCTTCTCAACAGACTTGAAAAGAAAAAACAATTGTGACTTTATTATCTTTTAAATACGGAACACTTTGTGAATTTGCATGTCATCCTTGTGCAGGGGCCATGCTAATCTTCTCTGTATTGTCCCAATTTTAGTAGATGTGCTGCCGAAGCAAGCACGAGAAAACGCAGTTGTGACTTTCAATGAGTCTCAGCCTTCAGGGAACTGGGGTAGGTGGGGGAAAGGGCAGGCATGCGATTTGGCACATCCCGTGACAACAGGCACCCATCAAGCCCCCCCCAACGCATGCTCTAATTTTACCCCTAGAGGCACTGTCAAACATTTTTCATAAGAGAATATAGTAATCCACTAGATTAGTGGGATACCATACAAAGCAATTACGGTTTCGTTTTGTTCTGTGACCATATGAAAATCAGAAATTTTTCATGACGCTCCCTTGAAGGAACCTTCTGCTACCAGATCATGCCCTGACCCTCGGGGGGGTGGGGACTGCCTACCACCCTTCAGCCCTCTAGGTAACTCTGGGGCAAATGAGAAAAACCTTAAGGCCTTTGAGAACAAGGTCATAGGTTGCAGCAGAACAGAATTGCGTAGCTGTGATGGGGCTCCGGATCATGTGGCCCGGAGCCGGGGGCCCAACAGGCAAAGGAGAATCTGCTGACCCTACTGGAGGTGGGGAGAGCTGCTGAGGCAGGGGGAATAAAGCTGTCCTGGGGTCACTGAGGTGGGGGTGAGTGAGGCCTTCCCCTTTGACAGGGAAGAGCAGGGGTTCCCAAGTGCTGTGCATGTGGAAAGAAGGCCCAGGGAGGCCAGGAAATGGTCAGCAGGGTGGTGGGGCAGACTGCCTGCTGGGTGGGTTCTTTGCGCCCCAGGATCCTTCTGGATAGTGCAGCACCTCTGTGTATGTGTGAGGGGCTCGGGCAGCCCTTTGTGATGCGAAAGCCAGAAGGGGCAGGAGAGGAGGTGAGAGGGGTCTGTGAGGGAGCCTGCTGGGCGGACTGAATAGCCCTTAAAGCAGACAGAGTAATAGAAGCCCGGTCACGGCCCAGCACCCAGGCTGGCGAGAGAGCTGACGGGCAGCAGCCGGAGGAAGGGACACCCGCTTGCTGAGCGTCCCGTGCGTGTGCAGCGTGCTCAGTGCTAGATTCAGTGTCAGAAAACGCAAATACAGCCTCTGAGGGTCATGGAGCCGTGTGACAATGTCGGCACAGCCCGCGGGCAGCCAGATACAGAAACGAGGGTCTGCGTCTTGCTGGGGACTCATGACAGAGCCCAGGTGCCTCAGCAGCTCCCCCGTGGACACCGCCTGCCAGGGGCGGTGTTTGCACCAAGGGCTCGGATGAAGTGCACCGGGGTCCCTGAGACACCTTCCAACCCAAGGTTCCATGAGAGCCCCCGACGGCCCTCTAGAATGAGGACACCCTGGTGGGAAGCGTGGAGAACACCACGGCCAGGGCCACTGCTGGCGGGAAAGACGGAGAGAGGGGCCCACCACCTCCGGAAAAGGGCCAGAGCGCCTGCTTTTTCTGACACCAAATGAATCCACTGACACTCATCCTCCTTAGTCACACGTAGGCCCAGAACCAGAGAGCCACAGGCCAGAGGTGGCAAGGCCCCAGCGTCCTCCTGCCCTTAGCTTCTTAGTGCTTCCCTGCTCAGCAGGGCCTGGCCAGAGAGGCCACACAGAGAAAGGGCACAGTGGCAGAAAGAGGGGCGGCAGGTGGTCACACCCCCCCCCGGGGGGGCCCAAGGGATCTGGGTCCTGGGACCGAGCAGCCTGGGGATGCCAGTAGAACAGAGTTCCTCGGGAAGCCCCCAGGGCCCTCACAGGCCTTCCTGACCTGCCTCTGAGCGGGGGCAGGGGCCATCCTTGACATAGGACAGGCATGAGAGAGCAGGCAGATCCGCACAGAGCCTCCGAAAGCCAGGGCCGGGCTCCCTGGCTGGGGACCACTTAACCACGGGCCTCAGCCAGTGCTGACCACAGATGCCCCAGCCTTCACATGCAACTGAGTGAGTGGCATCTGCGAGGAGAAGAAGCGGGAATGTTACGAGAACCAGATCCTCCTTCCGTCTTCCAGAAAATTGAGGCCATTTTCCAGGAAGGTAGAAGAAGTCAAAGAAGCTGCTTTCCACAAGCCTGAGAGACAGGGAGGGCACTGTTCCAATCACAGATTCCAGCGGTGGCCACCTGCTCGCGTGCAAAGGGCAGGGAGTAGGCTACCCAGGCTAGGAACGCGCAGAAGCTGGCGCCAGGGCAGCGTCGGGGCTCAGAGCAAGCTCCCAGTTCCCGCAGCCCCGCCCGGACCTGTAGGAAGAGTCCTTCCTCAGCACTGCTCCTGACTCTTCCACCACCTGAGGCCTCACCCGGCATGGGGAGGGGCATGCCTGAGGCTAGGGGAAGCACACCTGAGACGTGGCCACCTTGCGGCCCCGGGCCTACGGAGAGACAAGCAGCTGGGCCCCCAGGTGGAGGGGGCACCGCTCCTGCCTCAGAGAAGCACCCTGAGGGTTGTGCTTCCCCCTGGTCATGGTCACGGGGAGAGGGGGCGCTGGGAGGAGGCGGCGCTCTGCCTGGCTGGGGGAGGCACGGGGGCATCACATACTCACTATTCATTCCATAACACTTACTGAAAGCCTCGCGATGCGCAGTCTTAAAACAGAAGCGGTCTCAGAGGGGAGAGACTTGTGACTATCCGACCCAGTGCAGGGTGATGGCCAGCCCAGGTCGGGACAGGGACAAGCGCCAGCGCGGGCACAGAGGGACGTCCGCCCTGGCCGGAGCGCGGGCTGGGGTGCAGAGCAGGGAAAGGGAGAGAGAGTGCGCGGCCCGCGGGACCCCAGGGCTCAGCTACGGGCGCCTCTCTAGAGCCTGGATTGAGGAAGTTGGGGTCAGAGCTCCAGACAGGAGTCCTTGCTGCTGAATTCCCCTTCCAGACATCAGAGGCAAAGAGGAACACGCATTCGAGACCACCTGCGCCAGCACTTCCCGCTGGGTCAGAAAAACAGGTCGCGTCGTCTCGAGCGCGGGCGCAGGGACAGGTTCCGCCGCAGGGAAGTGGCGGCGGCCCCCGGGCGGGCCTGGGGCGGAGCTCCGAGAGGCCCCGCCCGCCGCACGCACCGCGCGCAGCCTCGCCCGGGGCCTCCTCCCGGTTAAGCTTCCCAGCCGGGTCCAGGACGCCTCCTCCGTGCACCTTCCCGTTCCAGCCTCCCGGCGTCTCGTGCAACTGTCAAAATCACCTCTTTTCAAGTTCATTTCATTGCTCAAGACTTTTTTAGATGAGGCCTTTCATTATTCCTGGGCCCAGATACAATCTTTCTCTCTTTTCACCACACCACCTCCACGTCCCCCAAAACCCCACCCCCACCCTCGCAATTTGTGCAAACCTCTAACCCGGCTGATCAGACTATATGGCCTCCGTATACCGCGGAACACTGGGAGGTCCTTAAGGATTATCTGTGGAATGGAATGAGAGAGGACTTGCATCCCTTAACCCTACAAGCAATTCCAGCTTCACCCTACGCCTTTGCCTGTGGACTCTCATGACCTAGAAGAGGAACCCGGGCCCTGCCTTTGGGATGAAGTTTCCTCCACCCTGACACGAATTGTCCTCTATCTGCAGGACTCGCTGAGTGCTCCTGGGAACCGCCAGGCTCCCCTCCCCACTGCAGTCTTGAAAGGAAGCTCAGCTGGCCTTTGGTGCCCCTAATGTGCGCTGGGTGCTAGGCAGAGCGGCAGGAAAGCTACGAGACGCTGTGAAAGGTGTGCCGCAAGGTGGGAAGAGTGTGAACCTCGAGGTCAGGGGGACCCACGTTCCAACTCTGCCTGTCATGCACTGTGGTTGTGTTTAGGCAAATTCCCCATGCCTGTTTTTTCAGCTGTAAAATAGGGGCGGTAATCACCATCTCGCAGACCTCCCGTAAGGACCAAAGAAACCCATGAGCACCTATGGGCTCTCAGCACACATCAGCCGCTATTGGATACCCAGGGCAGGGTGGTGGATGTGAAGAACACAAGCTCTGGACCCAAATTACCTGTGTCAGACCCTGGCTCCGCCAACGTGTTTGTTGTGTAACTTCAGACTAGTGTCTTTACCTCTCTGTGCCTCGGTTTTCCCATCTATAAAATGGGGATAATATGCTTAACAGTTACACAATTTCTGTTTGTGGGGGGTTGAAAAGTTTGGGAAAGAGTGGTGGTGGCTGCCCAACAGTGTAAATGGAATTAACGTCGTTGAATTATATGCTTAAAATGGGTTAAATGGGCATTTTTATGTTATGCATGTTTCATCACAATTTTACAAAGTTAATAATAATGTCATATACCAAGAAGCAGTGGATTATAGGATGCAAATCATATCTCAATGAAACTGTTCATAAAAAATAAAAATAAATGAGGATAATAATATTACCTGCCTGATAGGGTTGTTGGGAGAGATTAAATGAGTCTGTACAATACTGAGAACAGTGTCCAGCTTTCCCGACGAAGGAGAAGCACAACCGGGTTTGGGGATCTGTGAAAGTTTGGGTTTTCTGGGGCCTTTTGCATTTTGTTTTAGGATCCTTTTTTATTAGTGTTATACAAACCACACAGAAATGTCTGAAATTTCCACTTCCAAGTTGGCTGTAAGTCACCTGACATGCACAGTGCTAGGTGACAATAGCAGATGTTGACATTTGAGAAGTCATCCTGCTCAGAGACAGAAGGAAAGGTCACTGTGTTGAAGGGACCTGTAAGTGATTACATTCCTGGCTACTGAGTGTAGAACTTGGTCCCCCAGAGATAGCACTGGACACTTCTAGAAGCTTCTCCTCACGATGTCTGTTCTCACAGCTCTTCTCTTTTTTCCCTCTTTTTCTTATTTTTTTCTTTTTTGGGGGAAGGAATTAGATTTTATTTTTTTGTAAACGTGACTTTATTTTTATTATCCCAGTGTTATGATTCAAGTGTACAATGTAGTGATGACCCATCCATCACCCAGTGCTCATCACAAGTGCCCTCCTTCATCCCCATCACCTAGTTAACCCAAACCCCCACCCACCTCCCCTCTGGTAACCATCAGACTGTTCTCTGTAATTAAGAGTCTGTCTCTTGGTTTGTCTCTTTCGCTTTTTCTTTCTGCTTGTTTGTTTTGTTTCTTAAATTCCACATATGAGCAAGATCATATGGTATTCCCACATCCTGGGCTCTTCAACACAGCTCTGGGCTCACAACAGGAGCCGGGCCCTCAGCTGCTGGAAGAGCAGGAAACAAGGCTGGGCTCCAAGAAAGGGGTTGACAGCTCTCAGAGGCCGGGGACCAGAAGGGAAGCCTGGGAGAAATGGCTCATCCTCCATATGGATGTTCAGCTCGGCTTTGCCTGCCTCTTCCTAAAGTTGAACTCACATTTGCCCCCTGGTAGAGAGGGGGCTGCAGCAAGGGGTGGGGGGTGCCTGGAGGGCAGAGACAGACCTGGGCATGGTGGGGGCAGGGGGAGCAGCCAGTCACTTCCAGACAGAAGTGGGTGGTGCCAGCCAGGGGCCGGATCCCACAAGGGCAGGGAGGGCGGTCCTGGTCCCGAACAGCTCATGTCAAACCAAGACAGGGCATAGAAGAGCTCAAGACAAGCACGCTACAAATCTTAAACCCACCCCAAATTTGGGGTAGGTTTGCAATTAAACCCAAAGACTGGAATTTGGAAGATCAAAAAACTCGTCAAGTTTACCCAAATTTACTTTAAAATGAGAGCAATGAGATTTGAGAGCAGAGGGTGGGCTTAAGGCGGACTGCTGTGTTCTGAACTCTAAAGGGGGAATGCGCTTGAGTCCCAAGTTCCCTCCCGTCCCTGGCCACCCCAAGGCACCCGGAAGCGCTGTCTCCTCCCAGGGCTGGGGGCCCAGGTGTGAACCCCAGACAACCCCAGGCATCCCCCCAGCCCAGCTGGAAGGGCACATGTCACCCTCTGGGGCTGTTGGCTTTACTCTGGGCTGAACCCCGTCAAGATCCCAAGAAGCACAGGGCGCTGAGCGCGCATCGGGGAGGGCAGGACGTGAGCTGTCCAGCTTCCGCTTCCCCTCCCCCCACAGGCCTTCCTGCGGGGGGGCCCTTCCCCCGGGCGGGGGCTGGGGAGCCTGGCTTTCCCCTAAAAACTCTGCTTGGGAAAGGACACCAGGCGGGATATAACCAGCGGCAGCCGCACGGCACGAGCCCCCTGTGCCCCCCGATCCGGCATGTCCCCTCAGTCCCAGCTCCTTGTCTCCCTCAAGGTGGGCTGCAGTGACAAATGGCACCAAAGCGGCCAGCACTCCATCAGAGGCTCTGACTCTGGGGGCCACGGAACTGTGGCAGGGCTTTGCAGCAAGCCTGGGTGCTGCAGGGCCCGGGGAAACAATCTGGGAAGCCCTCGGGCCCTCTGGAGCCAGGCTTTAGTCCTGAGCTCCTCCCCTCTCGCCCAGTTCCAGTAGTATGGCCAATAGCTCCCTGATAAAACCAGTTTGGCACACTGCACTAAAGGCCTAATCTCTCTGATCCTTGAGCCAACTTGGTGTAAGCTCACGCACATTTTACAGATTTGGAAACCAGAGCCCAGAGAGGCCGCTAGTCAACGGCAGAGCCCCATCAGAAGCCAGGTGCACCTGCCCGCGGCCTGGTGCCCCTCCCCTCAGAGCCCCTGGCCTTGAGCAGGCCGCCCCACCCTCCTCTGCTCAGGACTCACACTGGTTCCACTGGCTTTCCCAGAACCCCCATGGAGTCCCACAGGCCCTCAAGTCAAAAGCCTCCAAAACACTTCAGCCAGAATGATCTTGCAACCCCAAATAGGACTCTGGAAGGAGAGAGGCAGAAAGATGCTCAGGCCCCCCGCTAGCCTCCAGGCTCCCTTTATCCTCTCTCCCATCTAACAACCACTTCACGGGTAGGGGGTGCAGGTGTGAGCCCTCTGCTTGTCCTAGCCACTGGGTGATCTCACTGTTGTTGCTCCCGTTTCGCAGGCGGAAAACTAAGGCACAGAGAGGCCGCATGGACCACCCTGGGTGTTAGTAGCACTAAGCACCAGAGCTGGGACTTGAGCCCAGGCCACGCACCTCCAGGCCTGTCTCCCTACAGAGACCATTGCCTGGTGAGACGGATCTCAGTAGCCCTCCTGCATCTGGGCCACACACACTGCTTCCTGCAAGGAAGGTGGCGGGGAGGAGAGCGGTGCAAAATCCCGAAGGGCAGTGTAGTGCCTTTTAGACTCTAGGAAGCCACAGCCTCTCCTACCTTCTTGGAGTAGTCATGGGAGAGCTGGCTCATTGATCTGTTGCGTCACACTGCTCTGGGAGATGAGGTTGAAATATGCACCAGTCACAGCCTCCTAGGATCATTAGGACACACACTATAGCCCATTTCCTACAACCCAAGAAGAAGCTCTCACATGAAGCTGTCAGGCCAGTTGGCTCCAGTACAAATCTAAGCTAAGGAGACCCGCCTGCTAGCATCAGTACACGGGGAGTGCCCGGGGAGATGTAAGGCGTCGCGACCCCAGGACTGCAGTTGGAGGTGGCCGGTGCTCAGAGAGACGTTATCTAGTGGAATTACAGAACACTTACAACATCTTTAAACATCTGCGTGCCGAGAGGTCACAGTAAGGATGAGTCAAAGAGTGAAAGTGGCAGGGTGGCTCCCCTGAGAAAGGACGCCTGTCCCGTGCTCTTCAGACGGTGGCCTCATGGCCTCTCTCCCTCGCCTCCCTCCCATCACAGGCCTTGTGACAGGTACCGTCTCTCCCGGCTCCTAAAGTTTCTTCATGCTGCTTTGCTGGCTCTCTGGAAGGATTTGGAAGGAGTTGTTATGTGTGTAATTTTGAACGTTGTAATTCTGTATTGTTAAAATCTAGCACTTAATAAAATAACCATGACTGCTTATTTGCAGTGAGTCTTGATGTTCTGGAAGCTGGTTCTTATAAATATTTGGTTAATTAGCCGTACTATCTGAAATAAATCATTTGCTCTCAGTTTTTATGGTGGTTAACAGTTTGTGAAGCAATTTTTACATACATTAGCCAGTGGCTGGAACATTATCAGTGCGTAT